TAGCTGATGTTGTTGTTGTTGTTGTTGTTGTTGTTGTTGTTGTTGTTGAAGTTCGTAATTAGCAATTGGTACGATGTAGTTGGTCCTACTGTGTTGCGTTAACAGTTGGAGTATCAGATTTTTGATTTGTAGGTATTTGTCATTGTGATGGTAACGGAGGATCACCATCATCACGAGTTGCGGGGGAGGAAGAGATATCGAATAGAAAAGTTCATCAGTATGAATATTATGCTTCGCTCCGCTGAGAGTTAAATTGACGAGTAGGTGAGGGAACGTACGGTAAGGTGTTCTTGGCCAAGGACCTCTCCAATGGCGAGGATGTCGCAATAAAGAGGCTGAAGACGGCAGCAGCATCGGCTGGTGAGCGGGTTGGGAGGGAAAAGATGACGAGATGTGCATGCGTGCAGGGACAAGTGGTGGTGGCATTGGAGGAATACACTTTACGTGTATCAGGGAGATGAAGGTCATGAAAGCTGTTCACAGCGAGAATGTCATGTCGTTGGTCGATGTAATAATCCTACGGTCATTTTGTCGCGCGCCACGAAAATGTAGACCATTTGCTCCTCGGGGCATCAGAATTCTGCAGAGTTTGCCTGATACATGGAAGAGTTGCTCTTTCATTCAACCATGATTGCCAATGTTGGAGGCTAAGCTGAATACCTGAATATGATCATGTTTTTGAGACTCGCTATTATACCCTACAGGTGTTCTCCTGAAGGAAGTCATCGTAGTAGGTTTTCGCATCAATTAACGAGGATGAGGCATCAGCTGAGGAGTCGGCATCTACGGCAACCCCTAGGCACAAACAACCTCAATTGTCATTGGTCATGAAGTTCATGCATTGTGATCTGAAGAAAGTCCTAAGTAAATTATTTTAGCGGAGCGAAGCGTTTCAGGAATGGTAATTTTCAGGTTCGAGGAATGTTACTTTATCTTTACCATGTATTAAGGCTATGGTATACCAAATAGTGTCGGCGTGAAGCTCTCATGATGTCTGTCGTCATCGGGATCTGTCATCTGGCA